CACAAAGTTCTTATGGGATCTGCCACGTTAAGAGTCCTAGAAAAGTAGTCCAAAATTGTTTGATTTATCTGAAATTTTCAGAGTATACTAAACGAAAATAGAGCTTCATTTTTGTAGTGGACAACTTTTTTGTACAATTTTATCCAAACGAGATATGCCGTTTTTGATCAAAAAGTGCATAAAAATGGCGTTAAGTCAGTTTAAAACTGCTTATCTCGATTTTTCGGATTTTTCCAAAAAAGTTGTCGATTACAAAATTAAAATTCTATTTCTGTTTAGTATATTCTAAACTTTTCAGACAAATTGAAAAAAATTGTGGACTTCTTTCCTAGAATTTTTTAATTTCCACTGGAAAATAGTCAATTTTGATATCTTTTTGGCTGGTATTGTAGAAAACAAGAAAAAATTACTTCAAAAATGACTGTTTACTTTCCTGAAATAGTCAAAATTTAATATGCTTTTTGCTTTTGAAATTTAAGGTTTTCGAAAAAATTACCTTCTTTTTTCTCGAAATTTTTTCTTACTTGGAATTTTTTTCGATATTTTTTTCTAGGGTTTTTTCTTTGGTGTCATTTTCCCAGAACAAAAAAAAAGCGAGTCATGTTTTTTTTTGCCCCAAAACATGAATTATTTAGCCGGTTTTTTCATATTTAAAAGAGTTCGTTTTTCATAAACACGAAAGGATTTTTTCTTGAGATTTGAACTACAATGTTTAGTTTTTGAGAGGTTTGAAAAAAAATTCAGAAATTCAGAAATTCAGAAATTCAGAAATTCAGAAATTCAGAAATTCAGAAATTCAGAAATTCAGAAATTCAGAAATTCAGAAATTCAGAAATTCAGAAATTCAGAAATTCAGAAATTCAGAAATTCAGAAATTCAGAAATTCAGAAATTCAGAAATTCAGAAATTCAGAAATTCAGAAATTCAGAAATTCAGAAATTCAGAAATTCAGAAATTCAGAAATTCAGAAATTCAGAAATTCAGAAATTCAGAAATTCAGAAATTCAGAAATTCAGAAATTCAGAAATTCAGAAATTCAGAAATTCAGAAATTCAGAAATTCAGAAATTCAGAAATTTAGAAATTCAGAAATTCAGAAATTCAGAAATTCAGAAATTCAGAAATTCAGAAGTTCAGAAATTCAGAAATTCAGAATAAAAATTCAAGAAGCTTTTTCAAATCGTTTCAATTTGAAATTTAAATTTTTCATAGATTTTTTGAAACAGTAAAAAAGGTTCCATTATTTTTAAATTTACAATTATTTTCCAATTTTCTGAAATTCGAAAATAACGCGTCAACGTGTTTGCATACGCAGCATGGTACTTTACGACAAACTACTCACTGAAGGCACGACCGGTTAGCTCGGACAGCTGTCGGTCGGTGGTCGGTGATTTTCGACCGACCGAAATGGGAGTCTTGTTCGAAAAATGTGTTCTTTGTTTTCAGTTTCTCCTTCCTGTCATAATTGTGTTGACTTTTTTTCTGTGATTTTTTTCTCACTACCAGAATAATCTCATTATTTCTTTCTGATTTTTTTCTCCCTGAAATTTCTTCATTTGGCTTTTTTTTCGAAAAAAAAAACGAAAAAATGTTCCGGGTGGTAAAAAATTTTATTTTAAAAAAAAGAAATTTCAGAAAAAAGTTTTAAAGAAGATCAAAAAGGATAGAGTTTCCCCAAAAAAACACCAATAGAAAAATTTTTGAAACATTAATTTTTTATATTTTCACTGTTTCAAAAATTAGGTTTTGTAGACAGGTACTGTTTTTGATGATATGGTAAAAACAACCTCATTTTTAAGCTTTTGCGATTATTTTTTCTAGAAAATCAAGTTTGAAGTTTCCAAAAATCCAAAAAATGACTGTTTCAAAAAATTTGAAAAGTGAGATTTTTTTCTCAAAAACGATCACTCTCTTCAAAAAACACATTACTAGCAAAAAACTTAAATATGCCAAAAATCTCATATTCCATCTGGTCTAGAAAGCCTAAAAGCTTTTTCTTTGAAATCAGAAAATAACATTATTTTTTTTCCGGAAAATCATTTAATGTTTTTTCTAAAAAAAGAAAAAGAAATAAATATTTTTAAAATGTCTAGCTTTGCTCACAAAAATTAGGTTTTTTTGGAGTTTCTTAATTTTTTTAGATTTTCGAGGTCATGGCCTAATTTTCGGATTTCCTAGGTCATACCTAACTTTCGGGTTTAGGTCATGACTTAATTTTTGGTTTTGCTAGAGAGTGCCCCAAATTTTTGGATTTTCTATGCCATGACATAAATTTTGGATTTTCTTGGTCATGACCTAATTCTTTGGATTTTCTAGGTCGTGACCTAACTTTTCTGTTTTCTACGTCATGACCTTTGGGTTCTCAGGTCATCTTTTTTTGGATTTTCAGGAGTATTCCAATCCTCGAAGCCTATTTTTTCTGTTTCAAAAATCTTTAAAAGCCTTGATCACTTATTTTTTGGCTTCCTTATCTTTTTTTTTCTGTGCTAATTACACTTTTTCTCTCCTCATTATTTGACTTTTCTCTTTTTTTTCTTATCCATTTTCCAAACAAAAAGAGTCCGCATCATTAAATTTTCCCATCAAAAAAAAAACCGAAAATTTGTCCTCTTCTTCATTCCATTCATCCTAAAAAATGTACATTTCTTTTCTCTGACATTTGCTCTTTGAGCCGGTGGCTCCGTCCTAAAAGGGGGCGGAGTCTAGAGGGATTTGGATATGTAATCCCTAGCTCTCTAGTAGTCCTAGTCGTGTTCTTCTGAATCATTTACTAGTCAGAGATGTCTCTTTTTTTGCTGTTTCGTGGGGAAACATTATTTTTACTGAAAGAAACGCGTAAATTTAGGTAATCAGAAGTGCAAAACTCTACTTTTTAATTCCCTTTTTCTTGAGATTTTTCTTTTCGAGGCTTTCAGAAAGTCGAAAAATATTTTCTGTTTCAGAAAAAAATTTAATTTTTTTTCTCTGATTTTTTCGAGATTTGGGAATAAAGATGGCTCCTCAAAATTTATAAATTTAATATTTTTATAAATTAGTTTTAAATCATCAAACGTTTTAGTTTACAGTTCAATATCTGAATAAGTATGAATTGAAATTTTTTTAAATTTTTTAAAAATCTGATAAAATCAACGTTTTATGTTGTAAAATTTAGGAAACTTAAAGGAGGCCAGACACCAAAAAAAAAAGTTTTCCTGATATTTTGCATAGAGAACCCCCCATGAGGGGTTGAACTCATGACAGGCAGCTCAGGGGTACAGCGCTGCTACCGGCTGAGCTACGGGGGCGCGAAGGCGCCTGACGACCGATGGTCTACATAAGCGCGGCGCGATTTCGTCCCCCGAACTGTCCCCCGAAATTTTTGCTGTCTCGCCTCCTTTAATAATGTTATTTTTTCTGAATTTTTTCATTGCTATTATAACAAAACAAAAACTTTTAAAAACCGAATAATTTCAAAAAATCTTGAAACAGCAATTAAATTTTTTTTGGTTCAAAAAATTCCTGTTTCAGAATTCGAATATCATATCTAAGTTTGGTAAAAAAAAATGATTGGATGCATATATTTTTTGGGCGGAGCTTTATAATTTTGATTTTCAACAAAAATCAAAAAGCGCTTTTTTACCATAGTATTACTGTATGTTCGTGTTCTAGTGCATTCCCATGAATATGAAAATTCATTTACGAATTAGTCTAAAAATAATCGAGATACGTTTTTCGGAAAATTGAAACAGAAAATTTTTGGGAAAATAACTTTTTGTTAAAAAATTACAGTTTCGAAATTCAAATATTCTATCATTTCAGTTGAAATGGATCATAGAAAAATCATAGAATAGAAAATTAAAAAACTTTTTTTTGCAATAAATTTTCTTTTCAAGTTTATAATTTTTTCTGTTTCAAAAAATCCAAAAAACTTCGAAAATGTATTTTTATTGTTTAGAAAACCAATCTTGTAAAAAAACGTATCATTGGAAAATGAACGCCGGCGTTCATTTTCTCAGTATCAAAATATCTATGAAAAATTGACAAAAGTCAGTGAAAGCCAAGAAAATGAATTTGTGAAAAAATATTTTTGGTTACGGTAATTGTAGTTGTGGGACCTTCGGCCACGGCCACCGGCCTTTTTCTTCCATATGTATCTCCGATTTCATAACTCGTCTAGTAGTCTGAACATTAAAAAGAATATTTAAATTTTTTCCGGATTTTTTGAAACAGGAAAAAACTTGATAAAACCTTTTTTTATTCTTCAAGCGTTTTCAGTCAATTTTAGCAATATCAAAGTATCCATGAAAAATTGGATTAGGTTACTGTAGTTTTCGTTAAGTGACCTAAAATTTTTCGAGCCAGATGAATATATTCATTACAATTTTAAAATTTCAGTCATAAAAAAATTGTCTGTTTCAAAAATGTTTTATCTACCTTTTCTTCAATCTTCCATTGATTCATCGGCAAATATCTGAAAAACTAGGAATGTTTTGAAACTCTGAAAATGCAAAATTTCGAATCTAGGCCTGTTTTACACCTTCCAAAAATTTCAAAGCGATCGGAAACTTGGCTGCCTAGCTTCAGACTCCTGAAAATTGTCAAAAATGACCGAAAATCAATTGAATAATACGTTTTTCTCCCACAGCTCCGAGTTTAGAACTTGTCGTAGTAGTCTGAACAATATGTACAGCGCTCATTTCACTTCTTAAATTGTTTCTGGAATTAGTTGAAACAGAAAAAATCATAAAGTCATGAAAGGATTTATTTTTTGATTTTTGATGCGTTTTCAGTCATTTTTTTATAGCACTGTCAAAAACGAAAAAAATTAGATTAGGTTACTGTAGATATCGTTGTGGGACCTTCGATTTTTCTCTGCCAGATAAATATGTCCCTTAAAATTTAACTTTTTCACTAATCGAATTTTTTGCTTGTTTCAATAATTGTTCATTCATTTATTCTTCAATTTTTCCTTGATTCTCGCAATTTTTCTAATAATTCTTTTACTCTAAATTTTTTTCAGAAATGAACAATGTGGAGCACATGAAACTATGGATGTTCATCTCGCAATGTCAGTTTTGGATCATTCTTTGTACAGTGCTCATTTCACTTCTTCTAGTCGCCAAAGCGTTTTTCAATTTGATCAAACGGAAACGATCCAATTATTTCAAATTTTTGACTTGTATCATTGTGGCCAATGTGATAACGCTACTGATTATTCTATTCGATATACTCAATTTTTCGTTTAAAGGTGAACAAAATTCGAACTGCAAGCCTTTTGTTCAGTCGAGCCACTGCTAATTTTTTTCTCAAAAATATTACCTATTAGGCTGAAACTCAATAATTAAGAAAACCAGTAATTTTTTAAAAAATCAGAAAAAATCCAAACATCTTTGTTTAACTAAAAACTGGTTGAAAATAAAATAAGTGGAATTTTTCAAACATCGAATTCAACAAAATTCAGAAATTCAGAAAATCTGAACTCATCATAAAAAAAGGAAATCGGTAAAAAATTACTATTTCAAAAAATAACTTTAATTCTTAAGCAATAAACTTTTATTAGTTTTTTGATCTGAATCGATAGCCCGTTATTTCCAGTTATTTCGAAAATTCCAGAAAAATGGCTAAGAAACTAGCCAAAATTAATAAAAACTAATCAAAATTTCGTGTTTCACCAGATGTCCGCTAGCTAATTAAAAATCGCCTTACAATTAGATAGTTTCACATATAGATTTTTGAACGGATTTGTAATATGTCTAGTTACTTAAATTGAACAATTCTGGAAAAATGGTTTAAAGGTGGGGGGACATGAGAAAAATAATGTTGTCGAAATTTCGTTTAAATATGCTCCTCGAGGAGTTGAACTTGTCGAGGCGAGTGTTGAAGGTGCGGCGCCGCAACCGACTGAGCCACGCGGGCAAAGAGAAAGCGCACGCCCGATTGCATACATAAAGGCGAGGACGACAGCTGTACGCAGAGTGACATTAAGCGTTGTACACCGTTACGGTAGAATGCATACTCTGGCCCCAAAAATCCCCCGTAAAATCTCCTGTCCCCCCACCTTTAAAACTAGCCAAAATTAGAAAAAATTGGCCAAAGATTGTCTGTTTCACCAGGGTTCCAAATTAACGAATGATATTTTGAAACACTCAAGAATTTGCTCCTTTACGACAATTGAAATGAATGTATTCCGAGAATACCGAACCATCCATCTTTAAATGTGTGTTTCAGCCTAATGGAAAATGAATGAAAATCTCAAAATTTTTGAATCCAAGTCTTCAATTTTAAAACATCTTTCAGGAACCCTCGTTTGCAAGTTACAACATTTTATCTCAAACAGTGCTGCCTGTTTTATCAACTGGATTTGGCTCTGCTTATTTTCACAGCGATTTTTCATTCTTTTCTACCCAATGAAGCGCTCTTCAAGAGGATTTTTTGGTTTCATGAGGTCCGGAAAGAAATTGGTTTTGGCTACAGCGTGTTTTGCGATTCTGACGCAGGTAAAATAGAATCCGGATGATCCATGATTAAGGGTACAAAATGTTGAGAAGCAAATCAAATTAACATTTCTTTAGATTACAAATATTCTTTCAGAGTTGGTCGTTGATATTTATCGAAGAAGTGACAATGCTCACTGATGACGAGCAGTTGATTGGTGTCTGTGAAAGGGATGTTGATATCATGAGGTGAGCAATGGAACAGAAGGAAATCAAGGGCAAATTTTTTTTCCAAAAATTGCAGTTTCAGAAAATAACTTTAAACGTTTAAATGACCGTTATTTCCATTAAAGACCTTTCAATTATTTAAGCTCAATTATCTTATTTCCTGTGAAAGATATCGAAAAGTGGAAAACTAACAAAATGGTTCTGATTTTATGACAAACCTTTTATCAGTTAGCAGATTTTTGATATTTCTCATAGTGACCGAGATAAATTGTCTCAAAGTTGACACATGGAGGGGTCTAATGTTTTACGTTTAACCTTTTCGTATATGCTGTAAACGAATGACATCTAAATCAAAAATCAAAAAAATCGTAATTCCGGTGACAATATTTTTTTTTGCAATATTTAAATTTTGAAACAGTGTTTTTTTTTAGTTAACCTTATTGGTTTTCAAAATTTGAGTTCAATTATCTCATTTCTTGTAGAAGGTTTGAAAACTTGTAAACTATAAAAACATTGTTGATTTTATAACAAACACTTTATCAGTTGACAGATTTCTGATCTTTTAACGGAATTAAGGTAATTGAGCCCAAATAAGGCCATATGATAGTTGTATAAATTTTTTCAAGTTTTTTCAAGCTAGGATGAATCGCTATCAAACAGTCTCCAGAAATGATCTTTTTGAAACAGCGAAAATTTGAATATTCAAAAAATATTTGCTAGAATGACTCTAACAAGAGAAGGATGTAAAAAAATAAATCTTTGGACCACAAATCTTTTAAATCTGGCTGATGATTAATGATAACAGTACCAGACAAAAGTGTATCATATGCTGATTTTGTTCAGTGAAACATAGTCAATTTTGGAGTCGTGATTTCCTATTCCACTGCAAACCGGGTTTTCAAAGTTTTCGTTCGTAGTAATCGTTAACTTTATAATTTTTTTGAAACAGTAACAAATTTTTCTAGTCAGGTGACGTGACGTTCTCCCGGCTCAAAATTCAACTACATGCTAAACTTTGCTAAAAATTGATTTTTCAGTGAAAAATGAACGAAAAATTTTGTTGCAGTTTGAATTTTAGTGAGCTTAAGATAACGGGTACAGGTGCTGAGCAAAAAAAAAAGAAAACTCACTCAACGAAACCAATTTTGAAACAGTTAAATTTCAGCGATTTCGGCTACCGAATTCTGGCAATTGGAGAAGCACTGGTCACTTATGCGGTCCCGTTTTTGTTAACAATTGCAATGGATATAGCTGTTCTTTATCAAACAGCGAATTCCAGGTATGTCTTCTACTTGAGAAAATCTTATTAAATCTCAAATCTAATTAGAAATCTAATTCTTAAATCTCATTAGAAAGTTTGTGATTTTATTGATGAAAAAAAAATTAATATGATTGAGAGTAGTCCTCAATATTAGGGAAATTTGGAAACAGCAAAAACTTTATCTACAGTTTCAGTGAAATTTTGAAAAACAGAGAGAAAAGCATAGGATATTAACACCACTCCACTATGTCATTTATCTCTTATTTTCAGTTTCGTGGTGATGTCCGCTGAGAACATACGCTCTGAAAATAGTGCCCTCCTTCATGTAAACGAAACTGTAAAAATCCAGTCTTCCCAATCAATAAAACAATCAAATCGTCGACGTCATCAAGCAATGAGGCGATGTTTAATGATGGCAACAATTCAAGTTTCACTCAATGCACCGTATTACACTTTACAACTTTGTGATGAAATATTCAGTCTGAGGACATCACACACTCAACTTTATTTATATGCAGATGCTATTTTATATTTCATCTACTTGTCACAATTTGCTATGATTTATTTTTATACGAATTTGTTGGTTTCGCCGAGAGGAAAAAGTTGTCGGTGAGTTTTTTTTTCGTTCATATCAAGGAAACCTTACTAACTTTTATTTTAATATTTTTGGTACTATTCAAAACTTGAAACAGTGGTTTTTGGAAATTCAGTGAACCTATCAGAGATGAGAGGAATAAAAATTTTGAAAATCCGGAAGAAGGAATAAGGAATGAAAATAAAAAATCCGAAACACGGAAGAAGGAATAAGGAACAACATTTTGAAAATCCGGAAGAAGGAAGAAGGAATAAGGAATTCCGCTCATCTCTGGAACCTATTAGAACGACATTCTACATTTTACCTTTGAGATCGAACATCTCAATTTCTGTAAGAGATATCACAAAATTGCCTATTGATCAAGTATTGGTGATAATATGATAACAATTTTATCAGTTCACAGGTTTTTTGATATCTCTCATGGAAAACGAGGTAACTGAACTTAAAATCTAAGCCCATAAAATTCAGATTTTAATTTTTTTTTTCAACATTTGAAAGTGATTTTTTGAATTTTATGAAAATCAGTATGAAGAGAGTGGAATTTTTGAGAAAATAGGATTCCCATTTTTTTCAAATTCTTTTTTTCAGCCAACCCCCAAAAATGCCACTCAGCTGTACTACGAGCCTCACTAGGACCGAGTACACATCGGTTTAATATTTCTGTTTTATTTTAATTTATATTTTTGATCTCTACCCCGAATTCTTGTACAAGTAAACTGTGATCACATACCTTTAATTAACTAATTTATTTTTGTGATAAACGATTTTGGATTTTGGATGAATTTAAAAAAAACATGAATGAATGGAAAGCAAAGTGAAGATTTGAAACAGAAAGTTTGAAAGATGAAAAAGTGGTTGACGTTGGCCGGTGAAGTAGGTGAAAAGGGTACGGTAGCCAGACAATAAAGTGAAATGTGTAAACACTGATCATCATATACAGCGACGAATGAATGAAGAATATAGAATAAAAAAACACAAAATTTTGAAACAGAAACTTTAATAGGTGGGAGTGAAACAAACTTCCAAATTTTGTCAATACAAGACCCTTGATTCTGCAATCAGCTGAGCTTCCAAAAATCGGTTGCCGAACAATGACTTGAGGAAAGGGTTACGGTAGCCAAACGATAAAGTGGAATGTGTAAACGCCGATCATTGTACAAAAATGCAAACTATCGTCTATAAAGCCTCCAAAGCTTTCCTGCACATCTTTTTTGATTGTTATAATTTAGAAAAACCAAATTTTGAACAAAGTTTCTGAAAATAAATTCTTGAATGATTAATAAAAAAGAAATACAACAATTACTGTTTCATAAAATTTACAAAAGTTTCAAGCATTTGGTGATAGCATTCTCAAAAAAAATGTATTCTGTGATTCTGAAACAAAATTGAGAGATTCACGAAATTCCGGAACAAGATCATAAATTAATCATTTGAGTTTATTATCATTGTCTCACAAAATTTGCCCGAAACTGTAATAAAAACTTTTTTCGCCATTTCTAATTTTCTCTAAATTTTAAGACTCCTCATTCTCTATTCGTCCTGTTCTTCTACGGCTACAGTCTGAAAGTTTGCTCCTAGGGCACTACTCTGATATTCTTCGGAGTCGAATAGCAAAAGTTTATAATACTGCCGAAATTTGAAAACAAATTGATAGCCTTTCAGAATTTTCTAGGAACCTATGACTTTGAAAATGTTAACAGGTGCTTAAAACGTGTGGTCAAATTTCTGCTTTACAACTATTAACATTTTAAAAAGAAACATAGATTTTGGAGTTTCTTCAAACAGAGAAATTTTTTACTGTTTCAGAACGATTGTAAAATTTGTTCAGTTACGATTGCAACTCTTCCAAATTCAGCTCAAATGAATTTTATTACGTGAGAGAGAGAGAGAGAGAGAGAGAGAGTCATAATAATAATGTTCTTCTGTTATTATTTCGTCTACTTATCACAACTATTGAAAATAGTGAATGGAAAACAAGGAAAATTTTTGAAACAGAAAGTTTAAAATGTAGCTACGATAAAGTGAAATTTGTAAACACTGATCATTATATATAGCGACGAATGAATGAAGAGAGTAGCATAAGTGGAAATAACACAGTTTTTTGAAACAGAAACTTAAACTCCACTTCAAGAAACAGAAGCAGAAACTCCACTTCAAGGATGATGATAGCATGCAGAAGGCTCTCCATATTGCCATTGTTTGCTGCACCGTCCAACCGATTGGTCTCCGTCGCCAACGCAAGTACCATATCAATGGAAGAGATTACGATCTCAACATTGCTTCTCTTTGCCACTGTGTCAGCAGCAGCTCCTGGAAGAGATTCTGCACAAAGATCGTCGTTGACTTCGAGACGGTTGGTACTAACAAAGGAATGGATTACAAAAAGTTCCCGTACTATATGAAGTATGGAGGCTTCTGGCTAAAAGGAACTGACAAGGTTCCACCTTCTAAGTACACTACGGACAATCTTGATGACACTCGTGAGTTCACTCCAATGGAGAATGAGAGAAACTTAATTTATTATGTTTATTTGATGTGTCATTTTAGTGTTTTACTTAAAAAAAAAGGTGGGAGTGAAACAGGCTTCCAAACTTTGTCAAGCTTCTTGACGCTGCTATCGGCTTAGCTTCCAAAAATCGGTTGCCGACCAATGACGTGGAAAAGGGTTACAGTAGCCAGACGACAGAATGAAATGTGTGAACACCGATTATTGTACACCGTGACGCAAAAATGCACCCTATCACCTAAAAAGCCTCAAATGCTTTCCTGTGCATCTTTTTTGATTGTCATGTTTAGAAAAACCAAATTTTGAAAAAAAAAGTTTCTAACCGAAAACCAGTGCAAAAATGATTCATAAAAAAGAAATGTAAAAATTTCCATTTCAAAAAGTTTAGAAGAGTTTCAAGCATTATTGAAAGCCGATTCTGAAACAAAACTGAGAGATTCATAAAAATCGGACAAAAACCATAAATCCATCATTTTAGGTTTCTATGATTGTCTTGCAAAATATCACTGAAACTGTAATGAATAATTATTGCCGTTTCCAACTTTTCCTAAAACGTATTGTAATCTTTACGATTCATTCCGTTACCTGCTTTCAATGGTGAAAGTCTCATAAATTGCTCCTTGAAACTTCTAAGATCACTATTCTGATATTTTCAGAAATCAAAAAACAAAGTTTTATGATTTCGGTAAATCTTTTAAAAAACTATTGAGATCCTTTCACAAGTCTCGGTTAAAAGAAGGTTGGAAGATGTAAAAAAACTGTTTCTCAAATTTTAAAAACGCAAAGTTTTGATTCATTAAATAATACTTCTTCTTGTCCCAAATCTAAAGAAAACGTTTATAAGTTTGGCAAAAAATGAATGAAGTTTTTTTCGTTGTGGTACAGGCTTGTCTACAATACCGTATAATCACATTTTCTAGTGATTAACTGAGATCTCATACCTTTAATCAACTAATTTCGCTATGGTTTTTCTGTGATAAAGTTTCCTAGATATACAACAAATTGAAACAACAAGAATGAACGAAAAACAAACACAATTTTTGAAACAGAAAGTTTTAAAATGTCGCTACTGGTATATCTCCTGTGCTTTACTGGTGGAGTATGTGAGAGGGGTATGGTAGCCAGACGACGAAGTGAAATGTGTGAACACCGATTAATCACGATTTCATAAAATTTACAAGAGTTTTGAGCATTATTCAAAGCTATTAGACACGAAAGAAGATTTAAAAAGGGCTATAAAACTATAGCGATTCACACATTCACCACACAAAATGTCACTGAAACTGAAATAAATAATTTTTGCTGTTTCTAATTTTCCCTACTTTTCAAGGACTCCTCATTTTCATTCTTCATGGGTTTTCGCTCTCAAAGAACGCAAATTGTTTTCAGAAACTACTAGGTCACTATTCAGATAGTTTCAGGCAGGGCTGTCGAAAATGACGGCCGGCCGAAGCCGCGGCCCAAAAGCCGAGGGGCCGGAAGGCCGCGGCTTTTATTTTTGAAAGCGACAACGCGGCCGAAAAGCCGGCCTCGGCTGGCCGGCCGTGCGGGGTCGAGGGAAACTTCATTCGAAATAAAAATGCTCACCAGAACATGGAAAATCGGTTAAAAAATAATGATTTTTCAAATGGGAGTATCTAACATGAAAAATATTTATTTTTGTGACTCAAGGGAACACTAGAGAGGCAATTAAATAGAAGTCATAATTTGTAAATTTCGAATTTTTCTACATTTTTCCATTATTTTTCATCATTCATATTTTCGAAACTACTTGTCAAAAAAAATCTGCACAAAATCAGAAAGAAAAGTTAATGTTTTTGTTGAAAACCCATAGTTGCGTCTTAATTTTTTTAAACGACGGCCGGCCGAGGCCGCGGCCGCGGGGCCGGGGCGGTATTAAAAAAGTTTTTCATCGCGGCCGGCCGCCCGAGCCGTGAAGGAGGTCAGCCGCGGCCGGCCGTTTGACAGCCCTGGTTTCAGGAATCAAAAAACAAAGTTTTTCGATTTCGGTAAATCTTAAAAAAAACAATTCAGATCCTTTCAGAAGTTTCGATTGAAAAAAGGTTGGAAGATTTAAAAAACTGTTTCTCAATTTATAATTTACGTTTTACGTTTTTATCATTTTCTCACAAAATTCCACTGAAAGTTTAATCAATAATTTTTGCTGTGTCTAATTTTCCCTAATTTTTTACGACTTCTCATTCTCTTGGTTTTTGTGCTCAAAGACCCACAAATTGCTCCCTGAAACTTCTAGGTCACTATTCTGATATTTTCCGGAATTAAAAAACAAATTTTCGAGATAGAGGCAAAATTTATAAAAAAGAGATTTCGGAATTTTTTAAGAAACGGATCAGCTTCTAGACATTTTCAGATTATCAGGTTTTCAGAGAATGAAATTGAATGCCCTGGATTTCCGGATAATTTGTTTGCACCTAAAAAACTGATAAGCTGTCTAGACCAGATGAAACATGAGATTGTTGTGATTGCGATAGTGTAATCAAGGTTTTAAAGGGAAAATTAGATTTCGGAAATTTTTGAAACAGTGAAATTTTTTACTTTTTCAAAATTATTTCAAAAAATTTCAGTTACAACAGCAAAACAATGTCTGATGTAATATTTTTAAATTTTAATTGCACTCAAAATCGGTTCAAAAGAATTTTATCATGTGATACACACGAAAGCAATAGGATTTGAAAAAAGAAAGAGTATCATAATAGAAATGTTCTTCTTGTTATTTTATTCATCGATTCATCAACGTCAAAACTTGATCGACAGCCGTCACAGTCTCCAGAATATTATCAGAATTGAAACAGAGTGGTGGCTTGATCTTCAGAATGTTCGTATACGGTCCATCGGCGTTTAGAAGTATTCCAAAGCTTTTACGAAGTGCCAGAATTGTGGCGATTGCCAATTTTTGGTCCGGCTCACGCGTTTTGCGGTCCTTGACCAAGTCGATTCCCCAAAATAGACCGACTCCTCTGGAAAATTCTTATTTGTTGTTGCTGTTTCAAAATTGGATCAATTTTTAAAGCGGTAAAATTAGATATTTTTTTGAGTTCATACGATACAAAAAGAAATATCTCACCGAATATCTCCAATACACTCGTGTTTCTTCTGTAAATCCCTCAACGCAATTTCCAATTTCTCTCCCATTGCCTGACTGTGTTCCAGAAGATTCTCCTCTTTTACCACTTTCATCACCGAGATTACTGCTGCACATGCGACTGGATTTCCACCGTACTGAAAATAAATTGGGATTACTGTACATTATGTTTGAGTTTAGGCCTTCAGTGAATATTAAAACGGCACAATACAGAACGACTAGATTTTTTAAATTGGAAGTTTATCATGTCTGGCGTTTGTAACAGTAATTTTGTTGTGATCCAACGTCGCATCAAATTTCGAAAATGGAAATTCATTTTTAATAGGTACTGAAACAGTAAATCTTTGAGCAAAAAACCTTGAATTTTGCAACATAGTTTTTTTTAGCTTTATCAGTCTATTAAAATGAAAAAAAACTTCAGAGTTTAATTATGTCATCTGTTTCGTCCGCTATTGTAATTTCACCTATTCAAAAGCATACCGTATTAAAATATCCGACTTCTCCACCCAACGCGTCAGCAATCTCTTTTCTCGTTGCGACAGCCGACACTGGGAATCCATTTCCCATTGGTTTTCCCATTGTCACAATATCCGGAACAAATCCATCATCATATAATTGATGAGCCCAGTATTTTCTTCCAATTCGTCCGAATCCTGTTTGAACTTCGTCTATGACCATTAGACCTCCATGGTTTCGCACATGGGTGGCCACATCCTGCAAAATTTTACTGATTCATTAAAATTCAAAATTTGAACTTGGAGTTGGTGAATGCTTGCTAATGAATCTCAAATGAAACCGGGAGAGACTTATATTTCAGTGCAAAAAAGAGTGAAAAATATTTTACAGTTTCAAGCGAATTTGAAATTTTGGAAAATACAGAGAAAAATCGATATTCCTGCAAACCCATAAGCATATAACGTAATAGAACTTCACAATACTTTGCGGCTTCAAACAGCTATGAACTTCTTGCTCACCTTAAAATAATCCTTTGGTGGAATAACCTGTCCTCCACACGACTGGAGTGCCTCTGCAAAATAGGCAGCAACTCCCCGCTTCTTTGATTCCACGTCATCCAGAATACTCTTAACATCATCTGAGTACTGTTTTCCAGCTTCGTACAATTTCTCCTCATCCGTCAATTCGTTATCCTCCAATCGATGTTTTCCACGGAACACATCTGGACATGGTGCCACGTGGACCCAGTCTGGTTGAGAAACCGATGATCCATGGTCGAATTTGTATGGGGATAGTTCCATGGTCGTTGTCACGTGTCCATGGTAGGCACTGGAAAATATGGAAATTGGAGGAGTCAGGATAGCAGAGATCCAGTGTTTCAGGGGAATATTGAAACAGGAAAAGTTTTTTCAAAACTCACTGTTCAATGACAATTGCATCCTTGTGTTTCGTGTAATCCCTGGCCAAACGGAGTGCCAAATCATTAGCTTCTGATCTGGAAAAAATATGATCTTGATCTTTCAGTTCATTTTTTGACTCCTTTCCTTTCTCTAAACCTGTTATTTCTTATCTTATCTTAACAGTTACTACCGATCACCTGTCAGTTTGAAAATGAGGTGATACTGAAACTGTTAAAATGAAAAAAGATTTGCTCACCCGGAATTGCAGAAAAGTACAGTATCCAAACCAGGAAGTGTCGATAGAATCTGCTCAGCACAATCCGTCAATTGAGTCGACACAAAACGAACGTTGCACGTGGAAGTAGCCAATTGCTTTGAAATAGCTTCGACGACTTTTGGATGACAGTGACCGACTAAAAGGGGAACGGTCAAATTGGATCAAATGATCCTGAGAAAAATAGAGGTACCATGTTGAACATTGCTAATGCAATCCAGGAATTTGTTTCCTTGCTCATCGTAGAGATATTGCATTGATGCACGAGATACCATGAATGGATCGTCAGAGTAGAAAATTTGACATTTTGAGCTGAAAAAATACTCTTTTGATTGACTATTGAGAATAAATATATATGAAATTTTTAAATGTTCTCTTTGAAACTGTAAATATTTTCGTATAAGTTGTTTGGTTTTTCTAATGTCTGAGCTTTCACAAAGAGGTCAGCAGGTTCAATTTTCTATTTTTGAACCGATAAGAGTATAAGCTCCCTAATGATCACTACATGATAAGAAAGTGAGGTAAAAGTGCAATTTTCATTACCTAGAAATTTCTCTGTTCCGAATAGTCTAGATGGTTTTCAAATGTTCAGTTCTACAGCATCGGCTAAAGAAATTCCCTATTTCGATTCACAATTCACCCGCTTATTGAAGGGCCCTTCAAATAAAAGATACCTCCAAAGAAACCTTGGAATAATAGAAGAGCCTGCCCTTCTAATACAGCTTTTACAGTACTTTTCTCTTTTTATACACTCACCCAATGGTATCCTTTCTTTTCTTGAGAATTTCTTCCTTACTACGAACGTCTTTGGTGGCGGCGGCTGCCGGTGTTGAAGACGTGAAGAATCCCAATGCGTTGACCAAGGTGGACATTTTTTCGATGTCTGAAAATTCACATTTTTCCGTGAGAGGCTGGATAAAAACGAATTATTAAAAAGAGAGAGAGACCTAAAAACAGTTTTGGAAACAGTAAAAAATATTTTTGGAATCTCAAAAACCACCCTAACAGACTAGGCCTGATCTGAAGATGCCTCCTTATTTCTCGAATTGATAAGGGCGGCAGAAAAGGGGGCGGAGTCTAGTATGTGCGTCGTTGAAACAGCAAAAAAAATGGGGAGAAAATATGTAGACACGAGAGGAGATGAGAGATAAAAGACACAGAGAAAGAAAAGAGATAAGATACAACGTTCTTCAATGATGCACATTTGTCATGGACATGGAAAAAAACCAGAAAAAAGATAAGACAAGAAAATGAAGACAATGGTCAGCTGTTTAGGCGGGAAAAAAATAGGCTATAGACGTAATTGGTTTGTAGACAAGAGAGGAGAGAGGGGGAGAGGCGCAGAGAAACGAGAGTGCCTGGTTTCTCTGCGTCTCCCGTCCTTCGTGAAAGATGGTGCATGAAGTCCTCTAAAATGATTTCAGAATTATTCAATTAGTCTGAAATTTTCAGAGTGTACTAAACAAAGATAGGGCTTTATTTTTGTAGTTTACAACTTCACCCTAGCTACTGTAGTTTTGGAGATATGTGCCTTTAAAGTTAGCGCGTCACTTTTCTTGGTGCTTGAAGAGGGGGGAGGCGTGCCAACTTTAAAGACATATATCTCGAAAACTACGGTAGCTAGGAAAAAACTGTGAATTACAAAAATGAAGCTCTAATTTTGTTTAGTAATCTCTGAAACTTTCAGACAAATCTGAAAATTCTGGTGCACTTGGACTCCAAAGTTGATTTTGGCATTTTCAGCACATTTTTGGGTTTCAAAACAATTACATCAAGCTTCTTAAATATCCTAAAATCAATTTTTCAAAAAAAAAATTGGACCAAGAGTCAGTTGGGTGTTGGGCTACGTGTGAAATGAGTGAGTTTTTGACCCAGATCATCTTTTTTCTCTGCGCTCTTTTCATTTTCTACTCTCTCTCGCTTCTCGAAAATATCAAATAAACAATTCTCAAGCACAATATCATGGGATACATTTGTTTTTGTTTACATTTTTTCTCTAGATTTTTCTGATAGAAAATAGGAAATGTTTGGGGGCAAAGAACAAAATGATAAGCGAACTTTTGGATGATACGGATTTTTGAACTTTGAGCTCTTTTTTATTACTTTAGGAGGTCAAGAAAGCAAAGTGTACGTTTTGAGCCAGGGAAATGCCAATTTTTAGAGAACTTCTAATGCAATGCAAATTATCTGCTCTAGATGATTAATACAATTTTGGGCAATTGTGAAACAGGAAAGTTATAGAAAAAAGTTCCAAATACCGTAAAACCTCTAATAGAACGACACCCGGATCGTCCACTTTGAGCCTATATATTTCATTTTCTGTGAAAGATATCAAAAAGTGGCTAA